AAGCTTGCATCTCTAACTTTGTAGCAGGTTTGGCATTTGCCTATGTTCCATTAGAAGTTGTATTTAGAGCAGTGGGAGCCGTGTGTAAACAGACATGACTCACAGATCAATACGCAGAGCTGCTGTGCTGATGAGGATGTGCTGCTTCTTTCAGCTCTCTGAAGACGCATTTTCTTATACTGCGGTGTAGCAGCTGTTTACACCGGCTTCCCACACAAATACAATGTGGTTTTGGTGCAGCAGAAAGTAGCTGCGAATAGTGAATAATAAGAGACGACGCTGAAGCACACCTGATTTATGACAAGCAGATATAGATGTTGACACCTAACTTGTTTTCCGTTGATTTTTCTTTTGGTTTTCCTCACTGAGGGGCTGATCTAGAAATCTAAAGCCTTCATGCCGTTTCTTTCATCTTCCTGCTGCTTACAAATGAAATCTGTACAGCTTCCACATGTCATAGAGATTAATCCTAATTAGCAGCTTAAATTTATAGGTTATGCTTGTTTGATTTCTTTTAAATTTTTCTTATCGAGGAGAAATGTAAATTTAATTGAAAAAGCAAATGTAACAAAGTAGATTTAAAATCACTTATATATCACATTGCATCACTTTTGGATAAAGTTTGGATGGAGTTTGGATAAATTTAGATTAAAAAAGTCAAACTTACAACCTCTATGATAAAACATAATGCAGTGTACATATAAATATTTATAAACAAATACAAGAATTCATTAATTTTCTTTTCAGCTTAGTCCCTTTATTAATTTAGAGTCGCCACAGTGGAATTAACCACCAACTTATCCAACATATGTTTTACACAGCGGATACCCCTCCAGCTGCAACCCATCACTGGTAAACATCCATACACAATCATTCACGTTTATACACTACGGACAATTTAGCTTACCCAATTCACCTGTACCGCCTGTCTTTGGACTGTGGAGGAAACCGGAGCACCTGAAGGAAACCCAAGTGAATGTGGGGAGAATATGCAAACTCCACACAGAAATGCCAACGATCCCACTTTATATTAAGTGTCCTTAACAACTATGCACTTACATAAAAAAAAAATAAATACAATGTACTTACTGTGTTTATAATGTATTTGAGAACACTTGTGGTGCTTTTGAGTTGGGATAGAGGTTGGGTTATGGACAGGTTTGGTGGTATGGGTAGGTTTAAGGGTGGGTTAAGGTGTAAGGGATGGTCAACAGTGTTTTTACAAATGTTATTACAAAAGTTAATTAAAGATGTAATTACATACAGGTATTCAATCAAGCATAAGTACAGAGTAAATACATGCATTACACAATAAGTATATTGTAACAAACTATTAATTCCTGTGTAAGTACATATTAGTTAGGACCATGCCATCTTACCCAGCCAAGGCTCGAACCAGCAACCTTCTTACTGTGAGGCAACAGCACTAGCTACTGCGCCACCTCTTTGCCTTACAAGAATTTGTGTAATTATTTAACAATACAGTTTTTCAGGGACATTTTAAGGCTTTCATTTGACAACAACATGCTAGGACACCATGTCAGATGGGTATAGTGAGATGTGTATATAAATTTTTATTATTTATTGAAAGATAACTCAAAGCTTAAAAATAATAATAACAATGTTTGAAATGTTAATTCAATTTAAAAAAAAATTTTTGTATGTTTCAAAGTCAAAGTCAGCTTTATTGTTCATTCAACCACATGTACAGAGAATCGAAATTGTTTTATTCTCACACCCTATAGGTGCCTAACAGATATTATTACTAAAAAGAAGTAAAAAAAAAGAAATTACATTAAATACAATAACACATATAATATAATTTAAAATATGAGTAAAATGGTGACGGAGTGGCACAGTAGGTAGTGCTGTCGCCTCACAGCAAGAAGGTTACTGGTTCGAGTCACGGCTGGGTCAGTTGGCGTATCTGTGTGGAGTTTGCATATTCTCACCATGTTCTCGTAGGTTTCCTCTGGGTGCTCCGGTTTTCCCCACAGTCCAAACACATGCACTATAGGTGAAATGAACAAGCAAAATTGACTGTAGTGTATGTGTGTAAATGAGTGTGTACTGTATGGGTGGTTTCCCAGCGATGGGTTTAGGCTAGAAGGACATCCGCTGCGTAAAACATATGCTGGATAAGTTGGCGATTCATTCCGCTGTGGCAACGCCTGATTAAAAAAGAGACTAAGCTAAAAAGCTAATGAATGAATGTTATAATAATCATGTTCCAATGTTGTTTTCTGATCTAGTCAGTAGGCATGAAACCTTTCACAAAACCACACAGGCAACTGTGACTGTCTAGCGCCAAAGTGTAAGACCTCTTTTAGTCAATTTGTTTTTATTTCTGTTAAGGGAACCAAACTGTGGAATTATTTACCTGTTAGCCTAAAATCAGAAAGTAATATAAATGTTTTAGTAGTGTACATAAAAAGTGGTTAAAAACAAAACAGCAGTGTTTGCACAAATAGTCCACTATTAGTTTGTTGGATCATGCTGCCTTTGCTTTGGCCTTACAGCAATTTTATGTAAATAATTATACTGTTGTGTATATGAATGTATTTTATTTTAATTTCGTCAAGTTTCCTGTGGGCAGGAGTTGAGAATTAGCAAGTCTGCTAAAACACTTCATTCATCCATTAATTTTCTTGTCGGCTTAGTCCCCTTATTAATCCGGGGTCGCCACAGCGGAATGAACCGCCAACTTATCCAGCAAGTTTTTATGCAGCGGATGCCCTTCCAGCCGCAACCCATCTCTGGAAAACATCCACAAACACATTCACACACTCACACACTACGGACAATTTAGCCTACCCAATTCACCTGTACCGCATGTCTTTGGACTGTGGGGGAAACCGGAGAAACCGGAGGAAACCCATGTGAACGCAGGGAGAACATGCAAACTCCACACAGAAACGCCAACTGAGCAGCGGCTCGAACCAGCGACCCAGGGACCTTCTTGCTGTGAGGCGACAGCACTACCTACTGCGCCACTGCTTCGCCTGCTAAAACACTTAAACAAGTTTATTTGGTTGTCCAGTGTAATTGTGTTGTCCATGTCAAATAAATAAATGTTATTTTCCAACAATGTAATCATTTTTACTATTTCTTCTCTCTGCCCCTCAGAGAAGCTGACGTTCAGAGATGTGAGGTCTCCTCAGGAGTTTCGGCAGGGTGAGGTGGCTGAAGTGGTCTGTGATGTCACCAGTTCCCCTGTGCCTGTGGTCTCCTGGTTTTACAACAACATTGAGATCACTGAAGACACTGAGAGTAAGTAATCTGCCATATTGACCTATTTTCTCTGGCTAAAAAAAGACCTTTGCGGCATTGCTAAATAAGTGAGATATCATTGTCAATTAATACTTGAATGCTTGAAAATTAATGTAGACTTCAAGCTTCTCTGTAGAGGACTGCAGAGAGAGAAAATGACCAGCAAAAATACAAAAAAGGGAATGCATGATAAAATCATTGTCACATTATGAATAATGTATGGCCTCATTTCACTGTAAGACTTTCAAAATGTTATTCCCTTTTTCCAACTCAGTGTTGACAAGCGCTAACAAGCGTGTTGATTAAAAAATGCATGTGCTTCATGTAAATGTGATTTCAGCCAGTTTTAAATATAGCCCTATTGAATGCTAAATTAGCCCGTCATTAACGCCATCAAATATTTTGTTCTCCAGAGTTTGAGCTCCTACAAAACAACAATCTGCAAGTGCAGAAAGTGACTAAAGCAGATGAAGGAGTGTATCGCTGCGAGGCCAGAGTCGAAGCCAGGGGAGAAATTGACTTCCGGAACATTATCCTGGTGGTTAACGGTGAGTTTGGAAAGCTGTGATTTTCACCTCAAAAATGCAGCAGCGTCCAGTAGTCTTTTTGAGATCTGTTAGTTTAATGGATGCATTATGAGCCAGTTTTAAAGTGACACTATAATGCTTTTTTTGAATTATTACCTTCCGTTTGCTGGGTAACAAACTGTGCCTTAAAGATCAAATTACACTACACAACAATTATTGTGTAATAACGGTGTGTGTTAATTTATTTTATAATCAATGAATCTGTTAAAAGAGTTTCTGACACCCCATTCACACAGGGCATCAACGTCAATGTTTCCCATTCACTTTGAATGGGTGACGTCAAGCGTTGTCTGACTGAATTGTGGATCTGTTGGCACCGCTTTAGTGCTGTTGCTTGCTGTAGAAGTTAGGAATTACTCAACTTTTCAAGCACCAATTGAAGCGTCAGCCAATTAGATTGCTTAATACAAATACCCCAGCTCAAACAGTAGCCGCTTACTGACTGATTTTATTGGCTGATTCTGCAATGATGATCTTTCAGCCCTAATTTCAGACATGTCCTCTGCCAAGTGTCGACACTGAAGCCCCATGTGTATCGGGTGTTACAGTCAACAAAAATCTTCGACAGTGACTAGTTTAATCACATCTGATTGACCATAAGCTCAAAAGAGAGATATGTGATTGGTTATTAATCTCAATGTCTAAATGTCTAAAAATCTAAATCTAATACTCCAATTTCATGGACTTCTTTCTAATTTCACTTTAATCACAGCAGTTGTGATACATTTGTTTGTGGAAATGCTGTTTTTGCCGCAATATCATGTTGGTGGCATTTTTGAAACATGCCCTCTCCACATTCTTACTCTTAATTGAAACACATGTTAATGGTGATGTTGATAGGTTGATTGTATTTCTTTCATCAATCTTAGACTCAAGTTCAATCAACACCATCATTGCTGTCATCGAGTGTGAACAGATTCTGTATATTGAGGAAGTCTCTAGAGCTATATGTGTCTGACATGCTGTAGACCAGAGGTGTCAAACTCAGATCCTGGAGGGCCGCAGCCCTGCACAGTTTAGTTCCAAGTCTGCTTCAACACATTTACCTGTACATTTCAACAAGCCTAAAGGACTTAATTAGTCTGATCAGTAAAGGTGTCAAAATTAATTGTTTTTTTCTGTGAACCGCGATGCAGATGGAGACAATTTAATATCAGTTCAGTTATAGATTCTAAACGGTTATTACGTACTGACATCTTTTATCTATGTGCTATGTTGTGGTAGAATACTATGGCTTAGGAGGTGTGCACTAGTAATTAAAATGCAGTGTCTCTGCCCAAGTCACTGCGTGTTTGCTGGGCAGTCTTTCATTGACACTGAAGTTACGGCAGAAGCCTAATCACTGCTGTAGAGAAAACGAAAATAAACGCCATTTCTCTCTCACTGTGGCCCCTTTGACCTGCTGGCGTGACGTTTTCTCTACTCTCATTGCAGTTCTTGTGGATCCAGACACAAGCGTGTCTGCAGAGCAAGTTTTCTCCACTGTTTCTATCATGGATTAGCTGTGATCGTAGCATCCGTTTAAAGTCAGCACGATAGAGTCAATCGCAGCCCTTTCTGTTGAGCATGTGACCAATCATAGGCATTTAACGACTAACTTGACGATGCTCAAAAAGCAAGCGGGATAATATTTACAGTTGTTTATTTGCTTTAAATGCTGATGTTGTCCTGTGCCTGTATTTTATTTTTTTTTTGATGGATTCAGAAGTTGTGTTTTCTTTGAACAGGTCAAATTAAAGGTAAAGTACATATATCTGACTGCTTGTATTGAAGGACAAGATTGTATAACAAATACATATAAAATGTTTTTAAAAATTATTCATTTTAATACAAGAATTATTATGCTGCGAAGTAAAATATAAAATTTATATGGAAAGCATTGCCAATGCACCATCATGCATCGAGATATCGAATTGAACCGAAACGATGGCATGATAAATATAACTAAACCATATAGTTAGAGTGTAGTTTCACATGCACCTCTACTGATCAGGTGTGCGTTTCCCAAACAATGACGTAACTCACAGCTGACATATCATAGTACGATGCATTGTTAGGGTAAAGAACAATGTAGTGATGAGTGTTTCCCAAAACCCATAGTTTCTCTGTCGCAAATCCATCATTTGAACCACGTTAGTTCTAAACTATAAAATGGCCATAATGATGCTCTAAACGGGCTGGAGTAACAACTTCTTTAGAAAAGAACCCCATCATTTCTTTGTACAAATTATATTGTTTTACACGCACCACGCATTTAAAAAAAATAAAAAAATTATTATTGGTAAAAACATACACTCGTTTTCCATATTAATTAAAATATATATAAATGCCACACATAGAGCCAATGCTTCTTTTACAAATATTATTGAGAAGATTACATATTCTGTTCTAAAACATAAAACCACTTACAAAAGCTAACACGTATTCTAATCTCATATATAAATCATGTAAATAAATAAAAAATCAGGCCATTTATTAGGAAATGAAATTTAATATTTATTGGGAAAAGAAAAAAGACTACTTTAATAATAAAATTAGTAATAATAATAAAATGAAGATTGTGATGATGATGATAATGATTATTATTATTATTATTATTAATAGTAGTAGTAGTAGTTGTATTAAGTAGGATATTGTTTATTTATTTAATTTTTTTGGAAAGTCTATTTGACACTCACAAAAAACTGCAGTAATGTTCTAACTAAGAGGCCCACGTCATATACAGTACAGATTAATAAATCATTTACTATAAATTAAAAGCATTAACATATGCAATGTTGTTTGTTTTCACAAGCTTTGGAGACATAACATAAATTCTGATTTTAAATAATCGGTCAGCTTTCGCCATGAGCCACGGCTGTGTTCAAAATGACATCAATGTTTTTAAGTGCACTACAAAAGGAACGCAATTGTAAACATGAAGATTGCTAAAACTGATCTGTAAAAATACTTTGAAAGCAAATTACACCTAAGAGTGATGACTTTAATGTTTTTTTTTTTGTTGTTTTTTTTTTAGCATTTCAAGTTTAAATGTTGGAACGTTCTAAAGGAATAGGGCATGGGGGATAACTAGGAATAGAACACCACAAGGAATTATGTTTCTAACTACAGCTCCAGAGATGTAGTTGCAATCATACAAGTTTGAAATGCACTTTGCGGATGTTCGTTGGAACAATGGATTTGGGAAATGCCAAATTAATGAATTATGTTTGTAACAACAGAACTTGCGACCTTAGTTGGCTTACGGTGTTTTTTGGAAATGCACCTTAGATGTGTTTAATTAGGGTTGTAACTAAACTGTGCAGAGCTGCGGCCCTCCAGGAACTGGGTTTGACACCTGTGCTGTAGACCAATAATGACATGCTACTAGGTCATCTGACCAATCAGAGCAGACATACAGAAAGGAGGGATTTGGAAAGAACATATCTCTTGTTAAGAATTGAGTGCATGTAATGAATGCATGCTAACCTACTCTAAAACAAAATTAGCATTTTTTTTCCCCAGTGTTCTTTAATTTGTGCAATGTTGATGCTCTGTTGGTAGAAATCATCCACTGAGCTTCATTTCCACATTCATGCGATTGCAGTATCACTCTAATTTGCACGTTTATTAAAAATCCAGCCCTATATTTGTAATTTTCATTTTGGTTGAACTATTCCTTTTGAAGATAAAGTCATTTCAGCGCTATCTCTCAGACGAAAGGCGTTTGTATCCTGTTATCTCATTGACATTAGCCCTGCTCGGTCTGATGGGAAGGAAACAGCACTGTGACATCACCCCATCTGCGTGTCCTTGTCTAATGCAATGATAGCGAACACGAACGGGTGTCTGTTTAGTTTACTTCTGATATTTTCCTTGCTGATCCAATCATGGTGCTCAATGAGGCATGACCGATAATCCAGCCGACATGACAACACATATCAGAGGCTGACATAAAATAAATGCCACTCTGCGGGACTGTTCAGTAGCCTCCGGTCAGATAAGTGTTAGATAGGCAATACAAAATTAATATGTCTTTGTCCTCTAGGAAATGTTTTGATCTTTTCAAAGTTAGCCGCTTTTGCTGGACGCGTGCTGTTGGTTGGAAGTCTGGACACTTTGAGATGACTTTGAAATGTCCAGGCCATACATACTAAACAGCGTCTTTGTAATATCTGTAATGTTGTGTTTTAATGCGTGAGTAAGGCTTCAGAGAGCTTAGCTTTTCCCTGGCCTCTGCGTGATGTGTGTGTATATGAAGATATTAATAGAAATAAAAAAAGAAAAATGCTCAAGAAATGGAGATGATTTCTTAAGCAGTAGTTTTTTTTATTTTCGCTCAATGTTAGCTCCAACAGATTCTTTTTTTTCTTTTTTTTTTTTTCATGTTAAGTTTTTTAACACTGTTATTAACAGCATACAAGTCTTGAATTTTCTATAGAGGATGTTGTCATATTCTAGAGAAAGAAGTGTTCCCTATTATTGTACTGGAAGGCATATTATAAAACATTGCAATGATCAAATGTTATTTTTTCAGCTCAGAAAGAATTGGGTAAAAAAGCAAAAGAGAGCATTGTTGACACACACTCACCGGCCACTTTATTGGGTGCAACTGTGCAACTGCTTGTAAATGCAAATTTCTAATCAGCCAATCACATACTTCAATGCTTGTAGGCATGTAGACATGGTCAGGATGATCTGTTGCAGTTTAAACGAACATCAGATTGGGGAAATAAAGATGATCTAAGTGACTTGGACGTGGCTTGGTTGTTGTTGGTGCCAGATGGGCTGGTCTGAGTATTTCAGAAACTGCTAATCTACTAGGATTATCACACACAATTATCTCTAAGGTTTACAGAGAATGGTCCAACAAAGAGAAACTATCCAGTGAGCAGCAGTTCTGTGGGCACACATGTCTTGCTGATGCCAGAGGTCAGAGGAGAATGGCCAGACCGGTTCGAGCTAATACACTAGAAAGGCAG